ATGAATACAGATAAAAGATGAACGTTACAAATGCGAGATTTGAGTACATAGCAAACAGAAAATGATAGGCTATTGAGTTCATCACCCTCGCCTATTTATACCTGTGAGGTTCTATAGTCTGAGGTGAGCCTCGCGTGCCTTTCTGACAGAGTCACGGTTGCTACGGGTTAGTCCTAAGGGAATAAGAAGGACGTCGTTGATAGATCGGCTTGATCAAAATGTTCGGAGACAGGAGTAGGATTAGGAAACTGGCCATAGTTGAGAATGACGCGGCGATGCTCCCCAAAGGGTCCTAAAGCGTGAAACGACTAGACTAGAAACGACACAAGTAACAATATTTTTACTTTATTCTTAATGGTAACTTTTTCCCGTTTTAGTTAATTTACTTGATGTAAGTTTTATTTGCCATGTACAAAATCTTTACATCCCATGGCCATTCTTTCGATTCCCATGCAAAATTGGGATGCCTGTGATCTGGCTGCTCGTTGCGGGCAATCGCGCAAAGCAGTGTGGGTAGTGGTGCAACAAGTTGCTTCCAGTCTCCCACATTTCCACTGCAATACTCCTACTCAACATGGCTACCAGAAAAGCGACACTTGTGGTAAATTGCCTGAAATATTCGAGGCAAAGTAGCAATCCGCATGGAGTGATTTTCAGAAGTTTGAGCATTTCAAAAGCTAAAACTTCCAGGCCTTCCTTAAGGTAATATTTAGTCTATTTCTGACGATTTTAGCCGTCTGGGTTTCGCTTGAAGTTCTTGGCCTGGTTGTTGAAAGCTCGGGTGACAACCCAAAGGTTTAAAAGCAAATTCAGTTGAATTCTTTTTGTGTGCAATATGATGATTGGATGATCCAAATATTATCCGAGAAAACACCTTCGAACAAGAGAAAAAGAAACCCGGATTAAAGTTTAACCTCGAAAAACTGGGCCCTTATCTTTAGTTATAACACTAAACAGATGAAAATGTAAAATCAGCATACGTGAAAGCTTACTACACAAATATTATTGCCCGAAAAAAAATTGCCCGGGAATTAATAATAGGGCATTTTAATTTAGAAGCTTTCCACAAAACATGTAGCCTTATTTAAAGAAGAAAAATTTACATTTTTGCTTCTCTGATCCATCAGTGGAGAGTGCAGTCATTTATTTTTATCTGTATCTTTTATGTTGAAAAAATGAAATATAAGCTAAAGATTATACAGTTGAACGTCTCTACAACAGCCACCTTTGGCACAGAAGAAAGTGGTTGTTGTAAAGAGGTGACCGTTGTAGAGAGGTTTTAAACAAGAGTCCATGTATAGATTTTTTGTCTGCTGGGACAAAAAAGTGGCCTTTGTAGAGAGGTGGCTCTTTGCGGAGGTTCAACTTTATCTCCAAGAACGTTCAAAGAGCATCGTCTCCAGGGTGCAAAGAAAGTCATTTTTACAGCTTGCCATTTGGGAAAGTTGAAGCGAGCATTTACTAGCCCAAACGTCATTTCAACTAGTCCCCCAAATTTTTTGATGAGCAGGATTGATTTCACAGTTCTTCTGTCAGTTAAATTCCTCAAAATACTTCACTTGTCTGTTGGGCAAGTTAAGAACAGAATTCACTAGCCCAATAACGAAATCCACTAGCCCCTGGCTATCGGACACTACTTTCTTTGCACGCTGCTTATCGCAGGATATCTACCGGTACTCCCTTTCAGCATTGACAAAACCTAGATCAAATCAACCCTCTGTAATCATACCCCTAAAATTTTAACATTAGGTGACTTACAGGGGTTGATGCAATCCAGGCACTTTTGATGCCTTACTCTCATGTATTGTCCCTAGGATTGCCTTAGCATTGATAGCTGGACTAGTACACTGCCTCTCACCCTGACATTTCTGTTAGTAGAGTGAAGAGTCAATTCATGGTCCTATAGTCAGTACGTGTATTTGGATTTTAGTAAAATCCAACTAGTGGTCTACTATCATTCTGATTGGTTGAGCTGCTACTAGGCTAGCGAAAAGTGCGGGCTTTTTGGCAGCAAAAAAGGATTAAAGTCTAGCTTTAACTAGCTAAATTTTTTAATTCTTGAAATTCTCTAAGTCAATAGCCTATTCGGCCTTCGGCCTTCAGCCTCATGGGCTATTGACTCAGAGCCCATTCGGGCTTGAGGAATCATTGTTAAATATCTTGGCTTGATTCAAGTGATTAGGAGAATTGCTTCATTAATACAGTACTTTTCCCCTTGTGTTCCCAAATCTTGTAGGTAGTTGTACCTTTTTTTTTGGCGTTAAAAGCATCTTTCTTATACATGTACATGATATAAAGATTTAGGATCAAAAGGGTGAAATCCTGTCTTTTCAATTGCTTTTTTTTACATGTTTTTTTTCTTGTTTATCAATCATTTTTCCGGATGACTTGAATCAAGCTAAGAGTGACTATCACAGAATAAGTGAATGTTTGAGATCACTTGTCACATGTGACATCACAATGCCTTGAAGAGTTCGGATGGTCTGCCTATAAATTAAGTTTACAAGTTGATGNTGACTTGAATCAAGCTAAGAGTGACTATCACAGAATAAGTGAATGTTTGAGATCACTTGTCACATGTGACATCACAATGCCTTGAAGAGTTCGGATGGTCTGCCTATAAATTAAGTTTACAAGTTGATGGTTCTCAACCCTGCCTTATTTTGAGGTTTTATTTTCCTAGTTTTCCACAATAACTTACTTTTCACTAAAATTCCTAAAGGTTAATTAAAGGAGTGCGTGGAGTGAGGTCACTTGGGCCATTTTGTTCCAGGTCTCCATCCTTCTAACATGGTTTCCCTAATGAATAAGCAACCTCAAGCTCTATTAAAAGAGAGTTGTTAGTTCCAGCCATAAATTTTCAAACCAAACAGTAAAACAAAAAGCACGTCATGTAATGGGCAAAATTTGCCTTCTACACATTTTCTTCTTCTTCTTCTTCTTCTTCTTGTTCTTCTCCTTCTTCTGCAGTTTTTTGCCAACTTTGTTTCTTGTTTGTTGTAATTTTGAAGTATTTTTTATTTGTTGTTATTGTAATAACAATTAATTTGGTGATATTTTATTTCTTTGAAAGCAGATCACAAAGTTGTCCGATGGTTGCAAGAAATATGTGTTCATCACTTGCTTCACTGTGAGTATTATTCTGTTATTAACAGTAATGGCTGAGTGTCTCAAAATCAAAAGCAGCAGATTTTGCCCAGAAATCCAAATTATTCAGTCCTATGTTGATCTAGACACTTAAACATCAAAAAATAAATAAGTAATTAGAAATAATCATGGCACTGATATGTTTTGCATTTTATTTCGTAATTCTTCCACCTTAGCCTTGCTTAGAATATAAAGGAAAAAATCATTATTCAATTATCAACACCATTTATACAGAGTCCATAATGGTGAATAAATTAAAGAATATGAGGATGCTGTTTTGACTGAAGTCAGTCATTAATTTTGCAAGGCCATATACTGTAATCAATGTTTTTGTCTGTCGGCAACAAAATAAAACAAGCTCTGAGCAATGTTTGAGTAAATTGAAGTAAGCTTACCTTCATACAGAGGTTTGTTCAAGAGTAACTTAGGTCCCAAAGTCAGGTTGGCATGTCAACCACAAGGAAATAAGCTCTGGGTAATGTTCAGGGCAAATAAAATTATTATTGAATTGCCAAGTTTATTCCTAAAAACTCCAGGCTTCTTTGAAAGGCCTGCTTTATTGTACCAGTATTTACTTGTACAGTCTTCTACCAGTAAACGTGTGGATGTAGGCTTGTAATGACTCCAGCCCTTTTATTTTTTAGTCAGGCGTTATTCAGAAATTCACCTTTAGAGCATTTAGATTTCAAGCACTTGGTGAATTCCTGATTTTCCTGCAAACATTTTTTTTCAGTTGTGCCACATTTATGCAGTAAGAGTCACTCCTGGTCTTCTGCTTTGACATTTTGAACTTCAAACTATTTGAGTTTCAGTCACCAAAAAAGATGGAAGATAATCAATTACAGTAACAAGAACTTGAAGCAGTGACTCGTAGTTCATACCTACATGTATATAGTGCTTGAGTGATAATTATGTCGGAACTATTTTTTTTTTGTACAATAAAGGCCATAAAATTACTTAAAGTCATGTGAAACTACATCATGAAATCAGATACTCAAGAGGTGAATTTTCTTAATTTTTTATAAGTTCTTGAATGTTGTTCACCATTCTTTTTCAGAAACATTTCAGACAAAGATGAAGAATTAGAAATTCCAAGAGCTGCTGACTCTCATTTAACACCATCAATATTCGACAATGAACTAGTAAAGTAAGTAACACTATTAAGAATGAAAAGGTTCAGTAACCTTCTTGCCAATTTTGTTTTTCCAATAACCATGTATTAGAACAATGGCCAGAAACAATGTCCCTATATCAGTTGTGGTCACTTCAGAGGCCATAAACCAAGTACATGTAATATGATAACGTTATAAAATTCATTTTATTTATTTGCTTATTTACTTATTGTAATTTTCTTGTTTGTTTAATGATGGTGATTTTTATAGGTTTTAACAGTGCCCACCTCTACATTGTTACATAATTAAAGAATGTCCATCAATTCTTTAGAACCACAAACTTTTTGTTTCTCTTAATAGTATTACCAGAAATTCATGTCTTGCAAAACCCATGAATCTCGGGAAATTCGGTAAATTGGTCAAAATTTAACATAAAATTCTGTTGTTCATTTCTGATTCACACGCAGCAAATTTGTGAACTGCATGATGTGGGATGGCAAAAAGTCTTTGTCGCAAAAAATATTGAAGATGGTAAGTGGACAATTGAAATTTTAGAAATGTACGACTAATATCAATCATTTGTGCAATCAAACGTTCATTACAACCAAATGTTCATGGCTTTATGGTCTAAAAGAAGAGTAACAGTATATACTCTACGAACTGGAGCACGACCACAAAATATCAAACACTTTGCAATTTACTGTCATGCAGAGCACTTACCATGTTCATTTCCGTTTTGAGGTATTTTTCACTGCATAATTAACTTCTCAAGTGTCCATTAACGGTTTCAAAAGTGTCCATTGTCAGTGTTAGAGAGGTGCCCATCTTTTATAGGGTATAGTAACAGTAAAATGAGTGGAAAATGGCAGGGACCAACACAAGGTGTCGGTCTTACAGAGGTGTCGGTCTTATAGAGGTGTCCATTAATAAGAGAGAATTGACTGTAGCTCTGTATCTTTGGCTTAAATGTTATTAATTCCCTTGTTCAAACTCATTATCATGCATTGTCATACCCAAAGCCCAAATACTGAAGGTTTTATCCAAGGATAAAATTGAAACATAACATGTAAAACTTAAAATAGTCACACAGCTTGATGTATATATGTTACAGGTTAAAATTAAATTCAGGTTAAAATTTTTTAACCCAGGAAATTGAGAATCAACGTAGGTTAAAAAAAATTAACCTGAATTTAATTTTGACCTGCAACATATACACAAATGAACCTCAAAGTGTCTCTACATGTGAACCGCTTTTTGTGCCAAAGAGGAAGTAAAGACCACTAAATGCCTTGCAAGTGTATCTACACTGTATTGTGCTAGTACGGTACATGTGTAAACATCTTGACAAAGTGGCCATTTTATAGAGGTGAAGGCAATATAAAATAACTAGCTGGGACCTTAGAAAAGGTGAACATGACTGCTTAACAGAGGTAACTGCTGAAAACGGGTCAGTTTACCAGTAGTTAAGGGAAATGATTTCCCAGACTTGGGTAAGTGACTACTCAATAAAGGGGGACAGCCTAATACAGGTTTGCTTAATACAAGTTTGACTGTACATTTTGCATATTTATTTACCGGCACTCACGTTAACAACAGTGCATGACTCTAAAGAATTTCAGCACTTGACGCCTAGGTAGTTTTCAAATGTAATATTATTTGTTTGGTTCATTTACCTTTTTGCTTTTGCCAGTAAATTGATACTTAGTACATGTACATTCTTGTGGAGTTAATGTGCTCTCATTGTCGTTTTATCACAGGCTCTGGAGGATATCAAGACAGAGCAACTACAAAAGTAAGGTTAATTTCAGATCCCTAAAGGAATAATTAATTACTGTCACCTCATTTTTGCTGTCAGTGTTGAATTGGTGTGATTGGGAGCATGTCCTTACAGCAATGAATCTGTTGAACGTGGGAGTAACCGCTGATTCCTTGTATTGTGTTTTGATGTACATAATTATAACTGCAAGGCTGTGTGGCTGTATTCTTGGGCAGCAATGTTTTAATAACAATTCAGATTAGATGAGGTTTATGTGATATCTGGAATACCTTGATTATTCTGGACGTGACAAAATTTTAACCTAATCATCATTGTTTTACACAGTGTTTTACACAGGCGTTTTTAATATGCAAATAACAAGAAACACACTGTCGCAGAATACAGTATTAAATTGTTCTTGGAAATCATGCATTGCATGTGCAACCTACAGATTTAAGTAAGCAAGCAGTTAACTAGCTAATCTTCACTTCAGGCTGGTTTTCAAAATTACCTTTAGGCTCTTATCCGATGAGAAGACAGATAACACAATGTATAATAGAGTATTGTTAGTGTCTTCCTCTAAATAACTGTTCTTATTTTACAGACAACGGGAATCGACGAACCCTGACTCTATACAGACAGATCCACTGCAAATTTTTCTTGAGGCAGTGGAAAACTGTAAGCCTATTGTTGGGGTCAGAGGAATGAATAGAGGAGGCAAGGTCTATCAGGTAATATGGCACAGTCTAGGGTTTAATAAAAAAAAAAAAGGAAAGGAAAGGAAAAAAGCACTTTATTTGAGTGTTAAGGTAGTTGGCACGAAAATGTCTTTTGATAAGGACCACTTAGGGAAAATCTGTCGACACCGCCGCTGGAAAAAACACCTTTTAATGTGTAAAATTACCAAGTTTGACAGTGATTTTGTTAAAAACTAACTCGTTCAGTGTATATAGTCACGAAATTTTACAGAGTACAAACTTTTTTTTCTCCTGCCACACAAACGTCTGTAAATTTTCGCAACTTGCGGAGCTACATGTATATCTTCGCTCCCTTGAGTTGAATCACTTTCAAACTTAGCAAGTTTACTAATTTTATGGCGCTCTTTCCAGCAGTGTGGACGGATTTTACTAACTGATCCTGATCAACTTGAGAAAATCCATGGAGGGGTCTATTGAAAATTGATAAACAAGAAAAAAAAAAAGAAAAAAAATTAGCCAATAAAAGTTCAGAAATTTACTGCTTTGCATTTTCTTGCTTTCTTTATTTCCAAACACTGTAATGGAGATCGTGCAAGCTATTCTGAATTTTCGCTCTGTGAATAAAGTGTTGGTGTCTAATTGAGTCTTTTTGAAAATGCTTTTCCTTTTCAGGAAAGTAGCGGAAGTACGTCCGTTTGTCTGCTTTTAGTTAAAGGACCCAGATTCAAAATCTTACCTTTATTCTCAGTACTTTTTGGGGGCAACTTTCCAGATTTGGGAAGCAATCATTTTAACAATTTAATTTAATTTTTTGGTATTTTTGGACAAATTTAGCTGGTTAGGACAATCTCATTATACTTGAAAAGTAACAGTCACAAAATTAGGAGTCGCTCCAATTCTAAAACGGATCGTGTCAATTCCATTTGAGTCAAACTATCTCTTGGAGGCCTGTAGTCAGTAAAGTTTCGCATTGTTTCATGTCTAACTTTCAGGTGCCCATTCCTCTTCCTCCTCAACGCCGCCGTTTTCTAGCAATCAAATGGCTGATCACCGCTGCTCGGGAACAGCAGAAAACAAATAAGAACGCAAGAATGTACAAGAAACTGGCG